AGCTCAGCTCACTCTGATAAACTGTGAGTGGTACATTTGGGCCTAGATATGAGAGAATACATCTATGTGGTATGTGTGCACCACATAAAACAGATCCTGCAGCACACTGTGTATAATGAGAGAAAAAAAATGAAATCATGATTTTTCGATTAAAACAGCAACTTTGCAGTGTTTTTTCGTATGTTTTTTATAGTTGTATTTGCGATTTCTTGGTCTCATTTGATAGAATGGAAGACATATTACAGAAATAGAGATGATTTTGATTGGTTTTAGCATTGGAAATGGCTTGAAACTGAGCTCAAAGTAGCGGAAATGTTAAATTTTTGCCGATATTCAAGAGTAAACAAACGACCTCGCACGTCTAATACACGTCAGCTGGTGGGTCTAATATACATTCACAAATATGGTGATGATATTTATACAATTATTACAGTATTGCATAACGGTAAATCTTCTATTTTTTGGTGCGAATAAAAATTCATTATGTGAATAAAAAATCAAAATGGAATTTATTTGTAAAGCCTCAAAACATAACTAATGAACAGAGGAAATGTTAGTTTAGTGCCAGGAATGCCTACATTGTTCATTTTGGACCCTATTTTGAAATTGGAATATTTTGAACTTTGTGTTAAATTGGCCAAATTAACAATTTCCGATCGCTTTATTTTGTAGTTGAAACAGTTGACTTGGCGATTTCTTGTGCTCAATCGATAGAATAGAAGTAATACTAGTGAAATAGCTAAGAATTTGGTTGATTGGAATAATGTAATTGGCCTAAAATGGGAGTCAGTCGGCAAAATCGCCGATTCGTAAATATCGCTGACACATCAAAATTCGCGAGAGCATAATTTCGTCAATTTTCCACCAAATTTCGTACTTTTTGTTTTATTACCTTCACAAAAAGATTCTCTACGATTTCATAAGAAAAAATAACAAATTTTTTTTTTTTAAATTCTTGGACACTGGTGCGTGACTCCAGATTTGGGCCTTGGACCCTGAAAGGGTTAAATGGTCCAAACGTATATATACGTTTTTTCAACATCTGAAAGTATGTAAAAAAAATGTTGATCTTTTTTGTTTTACATTTGAAAACGTGTAAAAAAAACTTCTCTACATTTTTTTTGTTACATATGAAAATGTTAAAAAAAAAAAGTAGATCTACTTTTGTAGCAATACGAATTTGAACGTCGATTTGTTTGGACCGTTTAAGGGTTAAACATCCCACTTTGACAGTTTTCTTCTTTTTCTTTTTTAGTAGACCATACGGGCGAAAAGGGGTTACTAGCCCATTGCTTCCGGCATTTTAGTTGACTTTTACAACACCTGGGTTACAGAGGAAAGATTCTTATTCCACTTCTCCATGGATGTGAAAGGAAAAGTAATAAGAACAAGAACAATTAAGATAAAATCAAAGAAAATTCAGATGAATTTGTATACATAAACATGTACAGTGTACATGCATGTGTATTCTGACCTAAGTGTAAGTAGAAGTAGCAAGACATACCTGAAATCTTTCATGTTAGAGACAGAAGAAAGACACCAGCAATCCTTCTTTCTTTCAACACACCGGCCATATCCCACTGAGGCGGGGTGGCCCAAAAGGAAAAACGAAAGTTTCTCCTTTTACATTTAGTAATATATGCAGGAAAAGAGGTTACTAGCCCCTTGCTCCCGGCATTTTAGTCGCCTCTTACAACATGCATGGCTTATGGAGGAAGAATTGTTCCACTTCCCCATGGAGATAGGAAATAAACAAGAATAAGAACTAGAAAGAAAATAGAAGAAAACCCAGAGGGGTGTGTATATGTGCTTGTACATTTATGTAGTGTGACCTAAGTGTAAGTATAATTAGCAAGACATACCTGAAATCTTGCATGCTCATGAGACAGAAAAAGGACACCAGCAATCCTACCATCATGTAAAACAAATACTATAGGCTTCCATTTTACACTCACTTGGCAGTATGGTAGTACTTCCCTGGGCGGTTGCTGTCTACCAACCTCCTCCTATAAAAAGAATTTTGGAGGTTGCTTTTATAACCTGACCACTACGCCTTTTGGTTTTTTTCTTTCTTTACTCGGTGGGAAACGGCCGATGTATTGAAAAAAAAATTGTCTGTCTGGTTAGTAATGTAACCAAGCAGATACACTCGCTTCTTCTCTTCTGGAGTATGGTGGTTTCAGCCTCGGGCAAAAAAAAAAACTCCATGGGAAAGTGGAGAAGAATCTGTCTTCTGTAAGCCATGCACATTGTAGGAGGTGACTAAAATGCTGGGAATAAGGGGCTAGTAACCCCCCTCTCCCATATAAATTATTAAATGTAAAAGAAGAAATTAAGAGAGACATGCAGCATCCATCCAGTGGCTTTATCTATACAAATTCTAAGACATAATTTGAAGACAGAACTATATACAGAAGAAGAGGTAATCAGTCCCTCAGCCTTGGAGTTGGTGTGAAGGGCATATACTAACATCAGGTGGAAGGGGGACTTGCAGCTATTTGGGTATGACCTACTTCCACTGGGGAATCCCGCCTACCAGTGACTATGCCCTCATCTGCTGCACGTCCCCTTTCCGCCTGACGTTAGTATATAAGCACCAGCCTCTTTGCCTCTGCTCCAGGACCTCCACGACTATGGTGCCCTTCACACCAACTCCAAGGCTGAGGGACTGGTTACCTCATCTTCTGTATATAGTTCTACTGTCTTCAAATTTTGTCCTAGAATTCATATCGATGAAGCCACTGAATGGCAAAACGTCTACAATAAAGGTACCCAGATGTTGCATGTCTTATTTTCATTTTGTCGGTATTGTATAAAATTCTTGTACAAAAAGAAGAAACTTGCTTTTCTTTGTGGTCACCCTGCCTTGTTGGAAGACTGCTGGAATTACCTCTTGTAGGCTCTGAGCTACTTTCATGAAGTCAAAGAATTTTACCAGATTTCCCTACCATTACTACGTTATCGTGTCTGGAGGCCTCTTAATAATTTCGTCCCAATATTTTTTATGGTGATCTTGAAGGCAGAAGTATGTTGTGGCCACAAAAAACATCAAAACCTTGGGTAGCTTTAAAAGTAGGTTGGACAGATATACAGTGGACCTCCGAATTTCGTGATTAATTCGCTCCAGAGTCTGCTAAAAGTCAAAATTCATGAATTTTGAAACCATTTTCCTCATAAGAAGTAATGTAAATCCAATTACTCCATTCCAGACACCCAAAAGTATTAATAAAAATTATTTTTTTATAGATGAAATATAGATTTACATACTGAAAAGAATGAGAAATAAAGTATAAAACATTAACATCACACTTACCTTTATTGAAGATTCTTGTTGATATATGGAAGACAGGAGGAGGGGAGAGGATGGAGAAGTTACATTATTGTTTGGAAGGGGAATCCCTTTCCGTAAAGACTTTAGGTACTAGGCCCTTATCCAGGGCTACTTCCCTTTGTGTTTTAATGCCACTAGGACCAGCTTGTCACTGGACCCCTGTCACAAAAAAACTGTTCAGAGAGCTCTTGCAGCTCGACCTCTACCCCAATCACTACCACCCTCTACCACCATCACAACTGCTACCACCATCACAACTGCTACCACCCTCTACCACCATCACAACTGCTACCACCCTCTACCACCACCACAACTGCTACCACCTCTCTACCACCACCACCACACCTGCTACCACACCCTCTACCACCACCACAACTGCTCCCACCCTCTACCACCACCACAACTGCTACCACCCTCTACCACCACCACAACTGCTACCACCCTCTACCACCACCACAACTGCTACCACCCTCTACCACCACCACAACTGCTACCACCCTCTACCACCACCACAACTGCTACCACCCTCTACCACCACCACAACTGCTACCACCCTCTACCACCACCACAACTGCTACCACCCTCTACCACCACAACTGCTACCACCCTCTACCACCACCACAACTGCTACCATCATCATACCTGCTACCACCCTCTACCACCATCACAACTGCTACCATCATCATACCTGCTACCACCCTCTACTGCCATCACACCTGCTGCTACCACCACCATCAACGGCTACCACCCTCTACCACCACAACTGCTACTATCACAACCACTACCACCCTCTACCACTATCACTACCACCACCACTCGTATTTTTCTACTAACTTTCTTTAATTCTATCATGTTTCTCACCTGTACCAAAGGACTGGCACTAGCTTTCTTTGGGCCCATGGTGGCTTATTTAGCAGTTGCAAACACACAAAAATAGTGGATTATTATGAAATATATGAATGCGTGGGGGTGATGGCCACTCGTCCAGAAACAATGCCACACTGACTCTGAATGGTATGTGGGAGCCTTTGTGTGCGCGCGGTCGTTTGGATGCTTTCAGTACGAGAGCCATTTTTTAGGCAAATCACGAAACTTGAGGGTACATTTTGACAAAGTTGCCATTACTCGAAATTCACGAAACTTGACTCGTGAAATTCAGGGGTCCACTGTACAAGTAAGGTTGGATTGGAGGTGGACCTTTTTATCCTGCGCAGGTCACTAAGCATACTGCAGTGTTCTTTCATTCTTATTTTACATACTGTTGTTATTTTGAGAGAATTTTTGGCGTAGTATACACTCATAAGATGGGAGTATAACTCTGGGAATGTTTAAAAAAAAAAAAAAAAAAAGCGACTTACGGCTGGTAATATACGGTACTTTTACACATTTGCTATAAATTCATTAATAGTTTGTTTGTTTCCACTGGCAGTCCTTTACTCCTCTGGCAGCTTCAGCTGGCTATGAATATTGGACTGCTGTTGATTTCAGGTGTGGTATATTTTTGATTGATCTGAGCTGTGGCTAAATTGCACACACTCGTCAGTTTAAAATAAACTTGAAATCTATACACTTGGAGTACTGTACTTGCTTGGTACTGCTCTGTGTGCGGTGGGTCTCTTCCTCCAAGCCTTTGCTTGTGACAGAGGCCCTCACACTTTTCTATCAACAGGCACAAGTCAAAGAAGAAGGCATTCACAAATGCCTCGCAGAAGTGGCAGGATGAGGTTGGCAAAAAAGTGATCGAGAGAGACCTTGCCAAGATGAAGAAGTATTGCTGCTGTATACGTGTTATTGCGCACACTCAGGTCAGTAGCTTGTCCATGTTATAATAAGAATCTTTCCTCCATAAGCCATGTGTTGTAAACGTCAACTAAAATGCCGGGAACAGTGGGCTAGTAACCCCTTTTCCCGTGTAGCTTAGTAACAAGAAAAAAGAAAATCGTCAGTGGGATGTTTGAATGTGCATGGATGTTGTGCGGATAATAAGAGACAATTGTGGATGTCATGAATGAGAAGAAGCTGGATGTCGTGGCTTTAAGTGAAACAAAGCTGAAGGGGGTGGGAGAATTTCAGTCGGGAGAAATAAATGAGATTAGGTCAGGGGTTTCTAATAGAGTAAGAGCTAAAGGAGTGGTGGCAATAATGTTGAAGGATAAGTTATGGCAGGAAAAGAGGGAATGTAAATGTATAAATGCAAGGATTATGTGGTGTAAAATAAGAGTTGGATGGGAGAAATGGGTTATAGTAAGTGTTTATGCACCTGGAGAAGAGAAGTGTAGAGGGGGGGGAGAGATTTTGGGAAATGTTGAGTAAGTGCATGGGGAATTTTGAACCAAGGGAGGGAGTACTTGTGGTTGGGGATCTCAATGCTAAAGTGGGTAAAAATATTGTGGAGGTAGTAGTAGGTAATTTTGGGGTGCCAGGGGTAAATGAAAATGGGGAGCCTTTGAGCTGTGTAGAAAGAGGTATGGTAATAAGTAATACATATTTTATGAAAAAGGATAAATAAGTATACAAGGTATGATATAGCATGTAATGAAAGTAGTTTTTGATTATGTATTGGTGGATAAAAGGTTGATGGGTAGGCTTCAGGATGTGCATGTTTATAGAGGGGCAATGGATATATCGGATCATTATTTAGTTGTAGCTACAGTTAGAGTAAGAGGTGAAAGTGTGTAAACTAAGGGAGGAGGAAGTTAGGGTGAGATGTAAACAACTATTAGCAAAAAGGTGGGATAATGCAAATATGAGTAGTGGAGGGCAGGGATGAAGAGGGTTGGGATAGTTTTAAGAATGCATTATTAGAATGCAGGGCAGAAGTTTGTGGCTATAGGAGGGTGGGTACGGGAGGAAAGAGGAGTGATTGGTGGAATGAAGTAAAGGGTGTGATAGAAAAAGGTAGCTTATGAGAGGTTTTTTCAAAGCAGAATGTTGTAAGAAGAGCAGAGTGTATAGAGAGTAAAAGAAAGGTGAAGAGTGGTGAGAGAGTGCAAAAGGAGAGCAGATGATAGTGGGAGAGACACTTGTCAAGAAATTTTGCTGAAAATAAGAAAAAATTTTGGAGTGAGATAAATTAAGAAAGCTTAGGGAACGAATGGATTTCAGTTAAAAACAGTAGGGGAGTTAGTAGATGGGGAGCTGGAGGTATTGGGTAAATGGCAGGAATATTTTGAGGGACTTTTAAATGTCTATGAAGAAAGGGAGGTGGCAATTTCGTGCACTGGTCAAGGGGGTAAAGCAGCTGGAACTGAGGGATCATGACAGAAATGTTAAAAGCAGGGGGGGATAGTGTTGGAGTGGTTGGTATTTTTGTATATAAAGGGAAGGGGGACAAAAGAGATCGTAAAAATTATAGGGGAATAAGTGTACTGAGTATACCAGGTAAAGTGTACTGTAGAATTATTATTGAAAGAATTCGAGCTGAGACAGACAGTAGGATTGCAGATGAGCAAGGAGGCTTTAGAGTGGGTAGGGGATATGTAGATCAAGTGTTTACATTGAAACATATATGTGAACAGTATTTAGATAAAGGTAAGGAAGTTTTCATTGCATTTATGGATTTAGAAAATGCATATGATAGTGGATAGGGGAACAGTGTGGCAGATGTTGCAAGTGTATGAAATAGGTAGTAAGTTACTAAATGCTGTAGAGTTTTTAGGATAGTGAGGCTCAGGTTAGGGTATGTAGGAGAGAGGGAGACTACTTCCCGGTAAAAGTAGGTCTTAGACGGATGTGTAATGTCACCATGGTTGTTTAATATATTTATAGATGGGGTTGTAAAAGAAGTTAATGCTAGGGTGTTCGGGAGAGGGGTGGGATTAAATTATGGGGAATCAACTACAAAATGGGAGTTGACAGCTACTTTTTCCTGATGATATTGTGCTTATCGGAGATTCTAAAGAAAAGTTGCGAAGGTTAGTGGGCGAGTTTGGGAGGGTGTAAAGGTAGAAAGTTGAAAGTGAACCTAGATAAGAGTAAAGTGATGAGGGTATCAAACAATTTAGATAAAGAAAAATTGGATATCACATTGAAGAGAGGGAGTATGGAAGAAGTGAACATTTTCAGATATTTGGCAGTTGACTTGTCAGCAGATGGGTTTATGAAGGATAAGGTTAACCATAGAATTGATAAAGGAAAAAGCGAGTGGTGCATTGAGGTAACTGTGGAGACAAAAAAAACGTTATCTGTGGAGGCAAGGATGGGAATGTATGAAAGTATAGTGGTACCAACACTTAGGTGGGTGTGAAGCTTGGGTTGTAAATGCTGCAGTGAGGAGATGGCTGGAGGCAATGTGTGATGTAAATATTATGCAGAGAATTCGGAGTGTGGAAATTAGGAGGTGTTGAGTTACTAAAAGTATTACTCAGGGCTGAAGAGTTGAGGTGGTTTGGTCATTTAGAGAGAATGAATTAGTTGAATGACTTGGAGTGTATAAATCCGTAGGGAAAGGAAGGACAAGTAGGGGTCATCCTTGGAAAGGTTGGAGGGAGGGGGTAAATGAGGTTTTGTGGGTGAGGGGCTTGGACTTCCAGCAAGTGTGTGTGAGCATGTTAGACAGGAGTTGATGGAGACGAATGGTTTTTGGGACTTGACGAGCTATTGAAAGTGTGAGCAGGGTAATATTTAGTGAAGGGATTTAGGGAAGCCAGTTAACCAGTATTGAGTCCTGGACTCACGAAATCGTAATGACACGATTGCAAACAAACCATACCCCGGCCAGGATTGAACCCGTGGTCAGAGAGTCTCAAAACTCCAGCCCGTCGCGTTAGCCACTAGACCAGCTAGCCACAATAAGATTTGTCCAACTAGGTATATTTCTACACCATAGGAAGGTTAGCACAGGCACCACTGTGACCACAAATGCAAGTTTTTACAGACGAATCTCCAGCTAGCGTGGCCGTGACGAACTCCAGCTCAAGTCCCTTCACTGCCGTCAACATGACTCACAAAATCGTTAGCCCGTGGCTAACGCGACGGGCTGGAGTTTTGAGACTCTCTGACTGCGGGTTCAATCCCGGCCGGGTTATGGTTTGTTTGCAATCGTGTCATTACGATTTCGTGAGTCATGTTGACAGCAGTGAAGGGACTTGAGCTAGAGTTCGTCACGGCCACGCTAGCTGGAGATTCGTCTGTAAAAACTTGCATTTGTGGTCACAGTGGTGCCTGTGCTAACCTTCCTATGGTGTAGAAATATACCTAGTTGGACAAATCTTATTGTGGCTAGCTGGTCTAGTGGCTAACGCGACGGGCTGGAGTTTTGAGACTCTGACCGCGGGTTCAATCCCGGCCGGGGTATGGTTTGAGTCCTGGAAATGGGAAGTACAGTGCCTGCACTTTAAAGGAGGGGTTTGGGAGGAGAGAGAGAGATGCATGATAATATATACCTGGAAAATACTCGAGGGCCTGGTCCCAAATCTGCACATTGCCATAACAACGTACTGGAGTGAGAGAGATGGGAGGAAGTGTAAAATAAGCCCAGTGAGGAGCAAGGGTGCAGTGAGGACAATAAGGGAACACTATCAATATCCAGGGTCTCAGACCATTCAACATCTTACCATAAGATATCAGAAACATGGCTGGAACAAGTGTAGAAGTCTTCAAATGGAAACTGGACAGGTATCTTCACCAGGTGCCAGATCTACCAGGCTGTGATGGATATGTGGGGCAGCAGGCCTCTAGCAGCAACAGCCTGGTTGACCAGGCAAGCACCAGACTAGCCTGGCCCATGGCCGGGCTCAGAGTAGATAAACTCTCGAAACTCTTCAAAGGTATAAGTTTGGAGGGACTTCTAAACTGTCGTATCTGAGCACCTCTGCAAAGACGGTATGAGTGAGGTGAAAGTGTTGAATAATGATGAAAGTATTTTCTTTCTTGGGTCTCCGTGCCTTGGTGGGAAACGGCTGACTTGTTGAAAAAAAAAATGTACAGTGGAACCTCAAATATCAAACTTAATGCCACTAGGACCAGCTTGAGTCACTGGACCCCTGTCTCACAAAATAACTATCCACAGTTCTCTGTTTCTGGTGCCTCTAAGATTTCCCTAAAATGGGACATTGTTCTGTTACTGAACTTGTTGCAAAGATGGCTTGTTTCAGGTTGGTCAGGGTGCTACTTCTCCACAAACATTTGGACATCATTCCACTTCTGTATTATTTCCTTCACATCTATGGCATTTCTCACTTTCTTTATCACAGGGGTACCACTAGCAAGTTTCTTTGGGCCCATTGTAGCTTATTTCAGTCCCACAAGCACTAAACAAAGTGAAATAATCGTAAAATGTTTGAATGAGAGTACTGGCTAGTGTTCACTCAAGCATCAACAAAACCAGACTGGCTCTCAGCGCCTGCATGGGGACGCGGACAGAGCAGGCTGCCGGACAGGTCCGGTACCCAGCGGTTTGAAAATAGGGGGCAAGTTCGATAATAGGGACAAAGTTGGTTCGAAAAAAGCGTTCTATTTTCGAAGAGTTCCATAAGTGATACGTTCGAAATTTGAGGTTCCACTGTACATGGTATACAGGCCTAGCTGATATCAATGACATACTACTATATAGAAAGCCCCTTGTTATACTGAGCATTTCAGGCAAATTAGGTCAGTGTTCCAGGATGTGACCCACACCAGTCAACTAACATCCAGGTACCCATTTACTGATGGGTGAACATAGACAACAGGTGTAGAGAAACATGCCCAAGGTTTCTACCCTGGCTGTGTGAAGCGAGAGCTTTAGCTACCAGATAGCACTTTCCTGGTCCCTTAAGAAACTCACTATATTTTCTTTCCTTTCAGATAAAAATCCTCAAAAAGAGGCAAAAGAAGGCCCATATCATGGAGATCCAACTTAATGGAGGAACAATTGCAGATAAAGTTGACTGGGCTGTATCTCACTTCGAGAAGCAAGTACCTGTTTCAAATGTTTTTGCCCAGGATGAGATGGTTGATATCATTGGTGTGACAAAGGGCAAAGGTGTTAAGGGTAAGTGCCATCGTTGAGTTAAAACTTAAGTATCCCATGCCAGTCTCTTCAGATTTACTAAGTTTTTAAGTAGGTTCAAGGGGGTTGATGCAGGTGAAGGGTTGTGTTGAGTTAATTGGATGTGCCATCTTTGCATTGATTCATATTCCATCAGTGGTTTTAGTACTTTCCCACAAATACAATTTGCGTGAGAACTGTGACTAAGGTTACGTATTGCAGCTCTAAGCGGTCAGTAGGTTCTGAATAATCTGTAGCTTGTATAATTTGTTGTGTGTATGAATTGGAATACTTTATTGTAGTAAATAACAGGTTATTGTTGATATATTCTTTTAAGGAACAGTTGTATTGAAGTAGAGCCTAATTACATTCTTTCCCCCAAGGTATGTGATGTAACATGTATAATGCAGTACCTGCCTTTTTTTTTTTTTTAATGCAAGGGTTGGTTTTTCCTCTACATAGACCTCGTATGTAGTTGTAAAAGTTTAGTTGTAATCCTTTAAAATGATAGGGCAGAATTTTCAAATGTGGTTTTAAATGTTTTAGACAACATCAAATACTGATCAGATTGGTGCAAGATCTGCGAAAGCCATCTCTGTATCTCTCAAGCCTAGCCTCCTTTACCTCAATGTAATAATAGTAGAGTTAGGTGTAACTTCTTGCCATTTAATATCAACACCGAAGATTTGATACTAATTATAGGGGGTATTAAGATTCTCGTGGAAACTAATATCTTAATTTCATAGATAAGAAAATGGCAGTGGTGCCCAAAACCAATTAGCACCTTCCACTAAATTACACAAGCTTTGAAAGATTAAAGCCAGTGAGAATGGGTATTCTGTAGTTACTGTACCAGTACCCCAAAATACACTAGTACTTTCAATTTGAAGCTCCTTGGTTTCATTGTCACGTTATCAGCATTGAAGACTTGAAGCTGATTGGCTAAAACATTGCAAATTATTCCATGAAAACTAGTATTCTTTAATAATAATGGCAGATTGGCACCTACCTATTTCAAAATAGATTCAAACATTTCTCGAACATACACAAGGTTATAAATTGTTTTCAAATTATAGATGAAAATCTTGAAAGGGTTTTTATCAACCACTTCAAGGAACCCCCCTCTGGGAATGTATAATTTATTGGTATCCCTGAATGGTGGGTACCTTTAGGAGGTCTGCCTGAATTCCTCCCCCTTCCCTCCTCTAGCTTTTAGATTTTATTTTACTCTCAGCTCAAACACCTCAGCCAATCAGCTTCAAATTTTCAAACTTCTGTATGGTTAGGAGCAAATCCTTGAACAATTAGCATGTTTACCTTTCATTCACTCTATCAGTTTCCCTGAATCCCTTTATAAATGATTCCTTGCTTGCAGTGACAGCTGAAGTTTCCAAAATCTATTTGCCTCTACTTGCTCCTATCGAACATGCTCACACACATCTGCTTGATGTTCAAGCCCCTCACATGCAAAACTTCCTTTGCCTCCTCCCCTCTAACCTTCCCTAGTGCAACCCATACCTCACCTTCCTTCCTACAGATTTATAGTACACCCTTCAAGTTGTCCTCTTGTTAAATCCTCTCTAAATGTCCAACCTCAACCTCTAAGGCCTTTGGATAAGACTTTCAGTGGAAATTAAAAAAAAGCACAATACCAGGACTGGAACAATACACGAATAACCCACACGTGGGAGAACGAAACTTTTGATGACATTTCGTCTGATAAGTTAAGCCTTTGACTGTTGGTGTCGTATAAATACGTCTCACGAGCCAGTGTTTTTAACATATTAATACGCCAAAATTCTAGTGGGAGAAAGCTGGTAGGCCCACATGTGAGAGAATGGGTCTGTGTGGTTAGTGTGCAGTGTAAAAAATCCTGCAGCACAGTGCATAATGAGAAAAAACTTCGACTTTTTGGATTAAAATGCCGACTTTGGGGTGTATTTTCGTATAGTATTTATGGTTGTATTCTCGTTTTTCTTGGTCTCATTTGATAGAATGAAAGACATTACAGAAATAGAGATAATTTTGATTGGTTTCACGATGAAAAGTACCTTGAAATTAAGCTCAAAGTAGCAGAAATGTTCGATTTTGCCAATGTTCAAGAGTAAACAAATGGCGTCACCGTCCAATAAGTGTCCAACTAGCCATTTTGATACACAGTCACGAATGGGTTGACATTATTTATACAATTATAACAATAATGCAGTAGTCTTCATAACAGTAAACCTTTTTTTGTGTGAATAAAAATTCAAAATAGAAAGCAAGAGTAATATAAGAGGGGCCTGGAGACATGTCTAATGAACAGAGAAAATGTTTAGTGCCAGGAATGTCTGTGTTGTTTATTCTGGACCCTATTTTGAAATTGGCATTCTAAAATTTTTAATTTGTATGAAATTTGCCAATTTCTGATGACTTTAATTGGGTAGTTGAAATTGGTAAATGGGTGGTTTCTTGTACTCAATTGATAGAACAAATGGAGTTCTAAAAAAATAGCTGCGAGTTTGGTCGATTGAAACAAGAAATTTGGGCCCGAAATGGGTAAAGTGGGCAAAACGCCAATGCGTATACAGTGGTCCCCTGAGTTTTGAATTTTTCTTTCCCAGAAGGCTTTTCAAGTGAGTTACTGAAATAATTTTTTCCCTAAGGAAAAATGAAAATTGATTGTCCATTTCAGCCCCCCAAAAAATTCACTTGCATAATTGGTGGGTTTGGGGAGTTTAAAAATTTGGGGTTTCCCACTGTATATATCCCGAGTCTTTAAATCCGAAAGAGCGTAATTCCATAAGTTTTTCATCAGATTTGTATTTTGGGGGTCATTGTCATGGGGAAAAAGTTTCTCTAATTTCAAAAGAATTTTTTTTCGAAAAATTTTGCAACAGAGAAATTCAGGATTTGGGGGTCTCGACGTAAAGGGTTAAAGGTTTAAGTCGGACCAAAATGTCAAAGTTTCATTTTTTGTGTGCGGGTTGTCTGTACTTTTAAAACCCCCCCCCCCCCCCCACCACCACCACCACCACCCCCAATTTTCAAGCTATGAATTTCTGCTTATTTACCCCCAAACTTGCCTCAGCACTACCTTTGGTACTGCCGTGCTGAAACATTCGTTATTTTGTACACCCCCCCTTTTATGTCTCGGGGTAGTTCCCCACAAATGCCTGGGTCCCCCCCCACCTTCCCCCCAACCCCACCCCCCACCCCATAAATTTTGTATTTGTGTGTAAGCCTTTCTTCAACGAGGAATTTGTTCCTAAGGCCACGTCGATAAACGAATTTGTTGTAGTGGGAGCTTTATAAAGGTAGGTTTGTTAAACCATCTTTGATTTGTTTTAATGTTACCTTTGCACCATTTATAACATTTCTGGTATATTTTTAAATGTTTATACAGTAGTATATTGTATTTTTTTATTATCACACTGGCCGATTCCCACCAAGGCAGGGTGGCCCGAAAAAGAAAAACTTTCACAATCATTCACTCCATCACTGTCTTGCCAGAAGGGTGCTTTACACTACAGTTTTTAAACTGCAACATTAACACCCCTCCTTCAGAGTGCAGGCACTGTACTTCCCATCTCCAGGACTCAAGTCCGGCCTGCCAGGTTTCCCTGAACCCCTCCATAAATGTTACTTTGCTCACACTCCAACAGCACGTCAAGTATTAAAAACCATTTGTCTCCATTCACTCCTATCAAACACGCTCATGCATACCTGCTGGAAGTCCAAGCCCCTCGCACACAAAACCTCCTTTACCACTCTCTCCAACCTTTCCTAGGCCGACCCCTACCCGCCTTCCTTCCACTACGACTGATACACTCTTGAAGTCATTCTGTTTCGCTCCTTCTCTCTACATACCAAACCACCTCAACAACCCTTCCTCAGCCCTGTGGACAACAGTTTTGGTAATCCCGCATTCCTCCTAACTTCCAAACTACGAATTCTCTGCATTATATTCACACCACACATTGCCCTCAGACATGACATCTCAACTGCCTCCAGCCTTCTCCTCGCTCTGCAACATTCATCACCCATGCTTCACACCCATATAAGAGCGTTGGTAAAACTATACTCTCATACATTCCCCTCTTTGCCTCCAAGGACAAAGTTCTTTGTCTCCACAGACTCCTAAGTGCACCACTCACTCTTTTTCCCTCATCAATTCTATGATTCACTCATCTTTCATAGACCCATCCGCTGACACGTCCACTCCCAAATATCTGAATACATTCACCTCCTCCATACTCTCTCCCTCCAATCTGATATTCAATCTTTCATCACCTAATCTTTTTGTTATCCTCATAACCTTACTCTTTCCTGTATTCACCTTTAATTTTCTTCTTTTGCACACCTACCAAATTCATCCACCAATCTCTGCAACTTCTCTTCAGAATCTCCCAAGAGCACAGTGTCATCAGCAAAGAGCAGCTGTGACAACTCCCACTTTGTTGTGTGATTCTTTATCTTTTAACTCCACGCCTCTTGCCAAGACCCTCGCATTTACTTCTCTTACAACCCCATCTATAAATATATTAAACAACCACGGTGACATCACACATCCTTGTCTAAGGCCCTACTTTTACTGGGAAATAATTTCCCTCTTTCCTACATACTCTAACTTGAGCCTCACTATCCTCGTAAAAACTCTTCACTGCTTTCAGTAACCTACCTCTACACCATTACACTTGCAACATCTGCCACATTGCCCCCCTATCCACCCTGTCATACGCCTTTTCCAAATCCATAAATGCCACAAAGACCTCTTAGCCTTATCTAAATACTGTTCACTTATATGTTTCACTGTAAAACACCTGGTCCACACACCCCCTACCTTTCCTAAAGCCTCCTTGTTCATCTGCTATCCTATTCCTCCATTTACTCTTAATTCTTTCAATAATAACTCTACCATACACTTTACCAGGTATACTCAGCAGACTTATCCCCCTATAATTTTTGCACTCTCTTTTATCCCCTTTGCCTTTATACAAAGGAACTATGCATGCTCTCTGCCAATCCCTAGGTACCTTACCCTCTTCTATACATTTATTAAATAATTGCACCAACCACTCCAAAACTATATCCCCACCTGCTTTTAACATTTCTATCTTTATCCCATCAATCCCGGCTGCCTTACCCCCTTTCATTTTACCTACTGCCTCACGAACTTCCCCCACACTCACAACTGGCTCTTCCTCACTCCTACAAGATGTTATTCCTCCTTGCCCTATACACGAAATCACAGCTTCCCTGTCTTCATCAACATTTAACAATTCCTCAAAATATTGTAGTATATTGTATATCGTAATAAACAGAATAGAGGAAATCGGCTCTAATATATATCATTTAGGTATGCAATAATCAAGAGCTATGTGGCAGATGCATGTAAGAAATAGGATGTAGGTTATTAACAGCAGTTAAGTTATAAATTATCTAATTGAAGCACAGCTAAAGTGTGATAGTGAAATGCAAAACTTTTGATAATCAAATTAGAAAAAAAATTAGCACTGCAACTGTGTGTTTATACTGTACATCTATTTAGACAATGTTGTATGTGATATGCCCTATGCCTGATATTTCCTGCTTTTAATTTTGTCTCTGGTTTTGTGTTGTTGGGCACTTCAGACCAAAGAATAAAAACATTCAAGTTGCTGAGACAGCAGAGGGGAAGGAAAGATAAAATTTAAAATTGTCAACTATTTTTCTGGCTAGAAAGTACAGTGGAACCTTGGTTTTCATTTTTAATTCGTTCCAGAGTCTGATGAAAACCAAATTCAACAAAAACTAAAGCAATATTTCCCATAATAATGTAAATCCAATTAATCCGTTCCAGACACTCAAATATATTAACCAAAAGTACATTTTATAGATAATATAGTTTTACATACAGAAAACAATGAAAAATAAATATAAAGCACTAATTTTAATGGATAAATGAACATTTAAATCAGTTTTACCTTTATTGAAGACTTATTGGAATATTCTTTGCGAGATCCGCATGTAACTGCCTTTCCTTTTCGCAAATTATCGCCTCCACAACTCTATCTCCCGCTAACTGTTTTTTGTTGATCCGCACCATCATCATCTCAACATCTTCAATTGTTTTGCCATAAACCCCCAACCCTCAAACCTTTTGGAGGGGGTGGTAGTGATATTTCCCCAAAAAAAATTTTTTGCAACACTTTGTTCTTTTGAATTCTATTTTTTTCTCCCTTCTTTTTATCAAAGGGGGGCACTGGGAACTTTTTTTTGGGCCCCCATGGGGGCTTTTTAGCAGGGGCCACTCGAAAACCAAAAAAAAACAATCGATTATTACAAAAAATTTTTTTGTATGAATGTGCGGGTAATTTTCGCTCACAAAAAAACCCACCCAAAAACTGACCCCAGAATGTGTGCATGGGATGCTTTGTGGGGAAACGGGCACATGGACCCGTTCCGTAGGGCCCGACAAAGCAAGGTGCAAAAATGAAAACGGGGACAATATTTTGAAAAAAAAAAAATTTGTTAAAAAACCAAAAATTCCCAAACAAAACCGGGGCAAACAAAAACCGGGGTTTTCCCAATTGGTGTGTGTGTTTGGTGAAAAAACAATTCGATGAAATAAAACATCTCGCACGATGCACCCCCGGGAAACCCCCGAACACAAAAACCCCCGGACCCCACCCTGCAGCAGGTTACCCCCCAGCACCCTACCAACACTATTTTACACCCCCATGTACCCTGCTAACACCACATGTATTTATCCACCCTTGAAAACCACCTGTGCCCTCTCAACAAAACACCACCACTGCCCCAACACCACATTTACCACCAGCAACCTTTACCAAACCCTTTTACCAATTGCCCTGGGCCCAAAAACAAAATAAACCTGTTTTTCTGCCATTAGTACAAACAGCAACACTTTCCCCCACCATTTACCCTACCAACTCTGCCCTTTCCCCACCCCACAAACTGGGAAAGGCCCCCACAACCTTTCCTGGGGTTTTTTGATATCCGCTATGCCTTTTTTTCCTGTTTCCCAAAAAATTTTCAAACCTTGAAAAAGTTTTCCCGTTCAAATTTTTGAAACACAATCAATCATTATTTGATTTTTTATTTTTTTATCTTAAAAAACTTTGAAAAATTTTACTTAAAAAAGTTTTGAAAAAAATTTTTGCCACCTCCCCCAGTCCTCTGCCCCGCCCCCCCCCCGTCCAGTATATTTCCCGGTTTAAGAATTAAAGTTGAAAAAAAAAAAAATTGCTTTAAATTTTTTTTATAAAAAAAAGAAATTAAAAAGTTTTTCCACAAAATTTTCCACTTCAGTTTTCGAGAGGTAGGGGTTTTTTTATTTCCAGTTAAAAAGGAATTTAAAGGGGATGCAAGATGTTTACATGGGGGGGTAAGGTTCATGGATGGATTTAGGAGGGGAATACTGTAAAAAACCTTTGCCCTAACCGGGGCCCGGGGATCAAAAGGCCCTTAATTTCCAGACTCCCCTGCTTGCTTCCCTGCAGTCACTTGTACATCCCCTAGCATGGATGAATTAAAAAGAAAAAATTGGGATGCAAGAAATTAAAGGGGTAGGGTGACAGGGGGGTCTATAAAGTGGGGGAGCAGGGGGAGTCTTTGGAAAGGGGTTGGGGAAGGGGAAAGGGGGGCTTGACATCCCGCAGGCTTTTTAAATTTGGGGGATAAGGGGAATGGGGCCCCTAGGGGTTTTTTATATGATTTTGGGGTGAGGCAAGGTTTTTAAAAAATTTTGAAGGAAATTTCAGAAACTGGTTAGCTGTACCTTTCCTGCCTCCCCAAACCGTCTGGTTTAAATGATTTTTTTGAAACCCTTTTTAAATCCCTTTCCTTGCTCATCCCCCACAGCTTTTCCCATTCACCAAAAATGTTCTCTCAGTTTTTTTGGCATTCCAACCCCAGCATTCAAAGGGGTATTTTATCCCCTCCCCCCCCCCAACCCTGCCTGGGAAAAAACCCCATAAATTTTTTGCTTTCTACCACAAAATATTCACTTTTCCCTAATTTAGTCCCCTCCTCCAAATTACCAAAATGCCGGGTGAGTACTCATCCCTTGGGGGGAGCAAGGAAAAAAATTTTTGGGGGAATTCAGGGGGGCCTTTTAACCGGGTAAATCCGGAGGGGAAAAAGGGACAATTCCTACGCTTTTTAAAGGGGTTGGGTTTTGGGGGGTTTTTTTTTTTTTAAATGACATTTAAACTGTCTGTATCTGCATGCCTCTGCAAAAACAGTGATAGTGTGAATTGTGGGGGATTTTTTTCCGTCGACTTTGTGGGAAACTACCAGCGTGTAAAAGTTTCGTGTACTGGAATGGTGAAGTTCATGTATGTATATTCTTTGATGATTAGCTGCTCAGAGTTCATCTGCTGATACTCGGCTGCCTTCCTTCTGATGATGATGATGTGATTGAGACATTAAATATATAATATCTGTTCTAAAGATTTGACTTCCAACAGGAGTAACGTCTAGGTGGCATACAAAGAAGCTGCCACGGAAAACCCACAAAGGTCTTAGGAAAGTTGCCTGCATTGGAGCATGGCATCCAAGTAGAGTTCAATTCACAGTTGCACGTGCTGGCCAGAAAGGTTACCACCACCGCACTGAAATGAACAAAAAGATCTATCGCATTGGTCAAGGTATTCACACCAAGGATGGAAAGGCAAGTTCTGAGAGATGTTGAAATTGTAATCTTATTGGCTGCCGCCTCTTTCCTTTTTTAAAAATTTGATCGTAGAGTAGTTTGAGAATTTTGGCTGTTAAAGCTTGGTTTAGTAATTGCAGTTGTTTATCGAAAATAAGTGTCCCATATATACAGTATACAGTGGACCCCCAAGTTTCGTGATTAATCCGTCCCAGAGAGTCTGCCGAAAGTCAGAATTCACAAATGCTGAAACAATTTTTCCCGTAAGAAATAATGTAAATCCAATTAATCCGTTCTAAACACCCAAAAGTATTAACAATTTTTTTTTTTGTTACATTAATTATAGATTTACACACAGAAAAGAATGAGAAATCAAGTATAAAAGAAGAATAATATCACACTTTACCTTTATTGAAGACTCTTGTTAGTGTATGGAAGACAGGAGGAGGGGCGAGGATGGAGAAGTAACACTTGTTTGGAAGGGGAATTCCCTTACATGAAGACTTCAGGTACCAAGTCCTTATTTGGGGTTACTCCCCTTTGTTTTTTAATTCCACTAGGACCAGCTTGAGTCGCTGGACCCCTGTTGCTCAAGAAATTGTTCCAGACAGCTCTGTTTCTGGCATTTCTTTAAAATTTGCCTCAAATGGAACAAGACATTGTCATTGTACATGTTGCTGACACTGCTTGCAACAGTTTTGTCTGGGTGATGTTCCTCCATAAACGTTTGCACCTCGCTTCACTTTGAGCAAATGTCCCTAAGCTTTGAAAAAGGCACCTTCCATCTCTTCCTCCTCCTCCTCTCAAGCAGTTTCCTGAGCTGTGCTCTTGCTGTTGCAGATGAAGGTCTTGTAGCTCTTCAGTGGTTAGCTCTTGACTGTGGTCCTCCTCCAACTCTTCCACATCCTGGCCACTTGCATCCAACCCCATGGAATTCCCCAATGCCACAATAGATTGCACAACTGGCATAGGGTTGTCAGGGTCAGCCTCAAACCCTTCAAAATCTTTGTTGACACAATGTGGCCACAGTTTTCTCCAAGCAGAGTTCATTGTCCTGGAAGTCACTCCCTGCTAAGTCTTTTCTATAAGGCCTATGCAATGGAGGGTATTGAAGTGATCTTTCCAGAACTTAGGGTCAGTTGAGTGTCTTGAGGTCACATCAAAGCACCTTTGAAACATTGCTTTGGTGTACAGACTTTTGAAGTATGAAATGATCTGCTGGTCCATGGGCTGTATGAGAGGAGTGATATTAGGGGGCAAGAACTTCACTGTGATGAAACTAAACTACTCCACCATTTGGTCATCCAGGTCTGGAGGATGAGCAGGAGCATTGTCCATTACCAGGAGGCACTTGAGGGGCAATTTTTCTTCCAGGAGGTATTTCTTCACACTCGGGCCAAACACTTCATTAAACCAATCAAGGAAAATTTCCCTTGTGACCCATGCTTTACTGTTAGCCTTCCCCATCACAACAGTTTCTCTTTTGGGGACACTGTTTTTTTTT